TTTATTTCCTTACATCCCACCTTTCTCCCAACATAGGGACTCAACGTGGTGAACAGCAGATTTAAAACAGTACAATTTAAAAACAAGACAACATCACAATGTATTTAAAATTTTATAAAATTAAAATTTTATAAAATTAAAAACAACAACAGTTAAGCCATTTAAAAAGGTAAAAGAGTTATGATGGCGGGGGTGGGTGGGGAGAAAGGACCAGTTTGTCCTTCCTCCTGGAGTAAAGTTCCTCCATGTGGTTGAGGGAGACTGCCAAGCAAAGGGAGGGGGAGAGACTGGCATGATGGGAGGGGGGGGATTGGGGGAAGCTGGGTCAGGTCCTTACAAGAGGAGGAGAAGTCAGAGAATCGCCAAACAACTTTTATTTCTCGATGGGGAGAAAGTGGTTGTTTGCTTAGAGGCCCATCCTTTTTTTAAAAAAAATTATTTGTACCATAAGACAAATAGTTGACCCTGCTTCTTGTCAAATCAGCTTCCTCTTTTTAGATTGAGGGATGGCCTAAATACCCTAGAGGAGTGGTTCCCAAACTTTGGTCCTCCAGATGTTTTGGGCTTCAATTCCCAGAATTCCTAATTGTTGGTCAGGTTGGCTGGGGCTTCTGGAACTTGGAAGTCCAAATATCTGGAGGATCAAAGTTTGGGAATTACTGCCTTAGAGGCACCAGATACTGTCTGGACGTAGAGGCCAAGCAGAGGTTAGCACTTGGATGGGAGACCATCAGTGAATCCCAGGTACTGTTTTAGAAGAAGCAACTGGGAAAACTACCTCTGAGCATTGCTTGCCTGAGAGATCCCTATGAAATTCATGGGGTCATCATAACTCAACAGGTGACTTGAAGGCGCACGCACGCACACACGCATGCACCCACAGGAGGAATTGTTAAAAACGCGGGAGGGTTGGGAGAATCTCAAGAGCCAAGTCTCTCTCTCTCTCTCTCTCTCTCTCTCTCACACACACACACTACTCTTTTTCTCTGGGGAAAAAGAGAGAACCAGGCAAGGGCTCCTCAGGGACAACCAGTGAACCATACTCACCCCTTCTTCTCAGTCTCTTTGATTCCACGGTGGAGCCTTCGCAGTATAAAGCCATTCCCCACAATCAGAAAGGGAGGGCTAATGCAGGACTGATGGTGTCTTTAATGATGAGTAGTCATATGGGGGCTCCCTAAAAAAGTATCAGGAAGTACTTGTATTCTCCATTTGTAGCACCAGGAAAAAATGGCCATTGGATCCTAGTTAATGGAAAGGAGCTCTTTCTGTTCAGAGGGAGTTGCAGACACAGTGAAGGTGGGTGGGTCAAGAACCTTCAAGATACTTCCTTGCTTTCCTCTACCCCTTCTCTCTGTTTATTTCTCTCTTTCTCTTTTGTGCTCTAAGGTGAAGTATGTGTTCTCTGTCAGTATAAAGTAATTGCCAAGGGGAGGAGTTTGAAAATGTAGATGGGGAGGAAGAAAGGTGATAGATGGAGGATCTGATTCGGAATTAATACATGATTATGTTTTCTGTGTTATTTTTAAAAAGAGGTTATGTGCATTGTATTTGGGGGAGATAGATGAGTTTTCAGAGAGCACAAGAGAAAAGAGGATGTATAATAATAGTGAGGAAAGCAAGGTAATGTGATTAAGGCAGAGTGAGGGGTCTGAGGACAAGGCTTGAGGGCCAGACAAACCCACAAAGCCTTCCTGGATCTGCCATAAAGCCATTTAGTCCAGTATCCTGCTTCCTATCCTAACCAGCAGATACTCTTCCAGAAACCCATGAAGACAGCATGCTACTGTTTTCTCTCTAGCGAATAGTATTTAGGAACATCATAGAGTCTCTAAACCTGGAGGGTTCTTCATTGGTTGATGTTGGCTTGGTGCTCCTTATTTCCAGGTCAACTGTTAGTGGGTCTTTTGGAGCACACCGCTCCTATGTGGAGATTCACGTGATGCAGAAATGAGACACTTCATATTTGTCTTTAGAGCTCTTGGGAGAAATAATGTGAGACCTTTACTGCCATTGAGCCCATAGGTTCTGATGGTTGGGGGGGTGGGGCTGAGTTATAATAATAGACCTAGTGCAGGTAGGCAACCA